ATCTTGTGATTCCGAATCAGAACAAACACTTATAAAGAACATCAATAATTTGTTGACAAATTATATCGAAGCACTAGAAAATATAAAATTACGTGCAGGTCTTGAAATAGCCATGGAGATTTCACGACAGGGCAACGGTTATCTGCAGGAATCAAAACTCGATAATACTTTCCTGAGAATGCGCTTCGGTCGTTGGAGTCTCGATAAATTTGATTTATCTCCTTTCCGCCGTATTTAGTCTATATATGCCATCCGTCACTGAGTCAATTAAGGAATATTCCTGATACGTTTACAATGGATATTGAAGCTGGCTATCAAATCGGCAAAGCCGAATATCTTTTCAAGAGGATTGATGAAAAAATGACAGAAGAATTTAGTAAAAAATTTGCTGGTGAATCTAGGGACGACAAAAAAAACAACAAAAAAGCGTCTAAGACTGCTAATAATGTAATAGCAACTGTTGTTCTAAAAGCTGATTAATTCGGAGTTTTTTTGTATAAAGAAATTTTTAATATTTTTAATAAAGAACTCTTGATCTAAAATTTTATTCAATAATCATAATATCTAGAGATATGATTTGATAACCTTTTTTGTCCCGATGGCCGTAACTTGAGAATGAACACTTAACATGAATATTTGTATAATCATTTAGTCAATCGGCGCTCAAGGAATGATTATTAAAATTGTATAAATGACAGTTTTAACGGCGTCCGTTTTCATTACAAAACGAACCAACCAACCTTTTTCATCTATTCGAACATTACTACCTTCTAGCCGCGAAATAAATATTAAAATAACTACTTGAAATAACATGCACTTGTATAACATGTATTGTGAAATTGATATATGTACACCTAGTTCAAAACTTTAACCCTTTATTTCGAAATAACACATGTATATTGATAGTCTGAAATAATGTGCGAAAACCATTCTCAGGAATACGTTATTTCGTGATATGGTAGCTTCATAAATAGAAACTACTGTAAATGGTTGTTTAATTTATGCTTTTGACTCAATGTAAAGTAAATAATGTTTCTAAATTAAATTAAATAATTGAAATATTAAACACTAATCAAATACTAAACCCAGTATTCATATTTTTAATATAGTCAGCGTGTTCCAAACAATTAATCAATGCATAATATTTTTGATTAGTTTCATATTTAATATAGATGATTTTAATGATAATTTAGGCCAAAATTCCCCTGCAAGTTATTACACGATAATACGGTATTAATATGATTCTATAAAATAAAAATTTTTTTTTATTATCATACTTTTTATAATCACCAGTTTTGTATAAACTATATATAATTAAAAAATTATCTATCACTAGAAAATCTTTTTACAAATTACAATGCTGATTAGGTTAAAAAGTTTTTACAAGACGATATCAATTTCTAAAATAAAGTATACGGTTATTAAATAGATTTTTTTTTTTAAAAAAAAAAAGAAAATAGAATGCTGAAAAAAAGAGAAAAAAAAAGCTTCAAATCATCGATAATATCGACTTCATTAAGTCCTTTTGGTCCAATTCTACTATATCTCAAATCCTTTTGATTTTAGAAAAATTATTATCGGACCAAATATCCCCATAAACATTCATTGAGGATAACAAAATATCCTGAAAAAATTCATTACATTCCATCTCCATAACATTAATCTCATTTGTCATTTGTTTTTCTGCAATTGATAATATTTCAATTGCTTGATTGAATGTCAACCGATCATTCGACTAATTAATAAAAATATCCTAAGTTAAAAAAAAAATAATCAATTATGAATTCATTTCATTGGTTATCATACCTCATCTAATGTTTCATCGAATGTTTCACCTTAATTCATATCAATATCCATCATATCCTTGTCTTGACAAGTGCAAACTTTCCAAAAGTCAAGTTTTTTACATTCTTCTATAGTATTTTGATGAACTGATTACCTCGTTTCACTTCTCTCAGTCTGATACTCTTTATATAATGATTTAATATGTTTATTGTTTCTAATAAGGTTATTAATATTATTAATATTTTTCTTATAACGCGTCCTGACAAAAAAAAAAGTAATATATTCACTTATAAGAATTAGGAAACAAATTTGTAAATTGTTTAAGAGTTATATTACTTTCAAGTTCACTGTTAAGGAGATAGGAAAGTAAAACTGGTTCTTCGGTTGCCATTTATTTTTAAACTGTAATTTTAGTAGCAGTTTAGATAATACGAAAGTTCTTATAGATAATACAGTAATAATATTAGAAGTAAGTTCGTCATTAGTTAACTGTTAATACAATAATAAATAATCAGAATAATATTATGTTACTCACTTCACAGAAACATTTAATACGTATATTCTGGATTTTAAATTCATTGTGGTTTCTATTTGCCTTGATTTATTCTTTTAAACCTTACTATTTGATTGGCTAAATAACATGTGACAATACATGAACATCTAATTGGTGTCAATCTTTTTTGTTTTGATGAAATCTATTGTAATAATTACATATAATCAAAACAATTGTATTTTTTCACACTTTTGCTTTATGTAATAAACTTTTATTATAATATATTATTGTAGTTAGTTTTTATTTTATCTCAAGAAACGCTACGTCGGCTCGTCGGTAAATAAAAGGTAATGTATC